GACACCGTAATGCTGGAGTTAACGGAAGGCGAAAAGATGAAGAGGATATTTGAAGAGCTGAGATCGGCAAAGTTCAACATTCCAACTAAATTTGCGACACGGGTTGGAAATTGGCCGACGTTGAAAAGACACGAGTCTACGCCGAACGTGGCCACTACGTATCATCAACCAGCCGCAGCAGGAGACTCCGAAGTCTACCACCAGTGTTTGTCCGCTCCGGCCGAGCTGTCCTGCAAGCCTTTTGACCTTTCTGATGTGCTGACACAAAACGAAGCCCCATTCAGTCCATCGGACCTCGAGATGTCCGATCCAAAGGACGCAGGATCCAAGGATAATGGCGCTCTGAGTTCGATAGATACGCCGAAAGGAGTTAACACGTTATCGTGTACGTCAGTGCAGTTGGCGCCCGAACTACCAGCAACATCGCCCAAAGTCCGGGACCGGGAGATAAGCGAATTTGAAGACTGTTCAGCACAGAGTCGATGATCCTCAGCGCCAAATATACATATAACTTTTGGACTGGTGGACCACCCGGAACTGGAAACAGAATGCAGTGACGGCAACGATCAGGAGTTGGTCAGTGCCCCTATAAATCCTAAACGGCGTCGCTCAATATGTTTTCAGCACGTGTTGCTGCGCCGTTTAGAGGGTGACCGCAAACACTTAGTTGCTGAATGAATTTTGTTCATGAACTTGATTTGCATCAAACTTGCAGCTTTGTTATGCTAGGTACCTGTCTAGTTGGTTTTTAATTGATATAGTATTATAATATTATAATCAAACGCATCAACATTCAACACCTGTAACGATCATTACAATTACAACTCATTTTATGGTTATATGTAATAAATATACTTTATTTTAGAAAACATGTAGTATTATGTAGTTTCCATTATTTTCTTTTATATACAGAATAATGCTCTTCGAGCTATAATAATAATATTAACAGTTCACAAAGGTTTAATGTGTTAGTGTACAGGCGTTAACCCTGGAGTACAGGATTCCAAATACACAACACAGAATATAAGTTAGGGGAACAGTGGTTTACACTCACGGTTCTACTTGGTTGTTGGTTGATTGGTGTCTTCTTCGTGGACGATGTCGACCTGTTGGCGATGATGGGCGGCGGCTATGGCTCGTTCGTAAATCCCGATAAGAGAGCTTCCTGGACGGCGATGACGGGCGGCGGCTATGGCTCTTTCGTAAGTCCCAGTAGGAGAGCTTCCTGTTGGCGATGACAGGCGGCGACTATGGCTCGTTGTTGACGGCGGCGGTTGGTCCGTGATTCGGCGTCGGCTGTCGGAACTCGACGTTGAGTTTAGTCACCATAAACGGTCGATTACTTGTCAAGGCGTTAATACCGTTTTCGGTATTCCAAGACAGCGGTAATCAGACTCGTTGTGGCTTTCGACTCAACAGTCGGGAAGAGGTGATTTGGACAGTGAGTGTCGGGTCGTATTTAACGATATTAACACTCGTCTCAGCAGTGTATTGAGCTTTTGTGCATTGACAGTTATATAGATGTAGATGATCTCCTGAAGTTCAGTCGATGATTCCAACATGAACCGGAGACACTCTTAAACTTTATTAATTAGTATTTAAGTGATTACAGTCATTTTAATGATTGAAATCACTCGTGACCGTAACGTGTTCAATGCGCTGTTCGCTAGTGGCGCGCTCTCTTGGCGGAGTTTAGCGCGACATGTAAATGACCACGGCACGTTTACATACTCTAGGCGCGCTCTCTTGACGGAGTTTAGCGCGACGATATGTATAGAGAGAGTAACGATTTCTCGTTACACACCCTAGCGTAAAATTAATTTATGTAGCCTGTGAAAATCGTAACTATATTGTAAATCTCTAACCTCTATAATATTGTACCAAAAAAAACCTTGAACGAAAAAAATTAAATGTTTGTATTAAAATTGATAACCAAATAATTAGGTTGGTTCTTTGCAGTTACATCTTTTATTACTTAAAATATGTTAGTAGGTACAAAGAAAAACTACGTTCTGAAATGAAATATGCAGAAAGTATATAACTCAGGTAGTCACGTAATCTTTATACAACACAAATACACAATATTTGATCAGATTTGATTCATCTTGTGTGTAAACACAAGTGCAATGTCAATGAAAGTCCGTCTTTAGTGTTAACTTTAAGTGTTATAACTAAGCAGTGCTGGAGAGTTGCAGCATTTACTAATTATTGTTTATTTTTGGCTCTAGCAGATAGTGCTACCGAAACTCATTTCAACATTATGTTACAATTATCTCAAATATACAAATTTGAAAATTCTGTTCATTTTCTTGTACTTGTATTATTTTAAAAATGAGGGAAATATTTTATTCCTATGTTTTAAATTTATTGACCAGTTGTCCGGAACACATTCTTATTATCATGTTTTTGCGACCAAGCCAGTCTCTCACAAAACTCAGACGACATTCTAACGATACTTTAATACGTGACTCGCTCTGCAATTATTATCACATTTTCTTATTCTTATATGGCTACCTAGTACAGTAATACCTACCATTATTATTCCCAAAATACAAGTTGTAGAAACGTTATACATTTCACTATTACTTAGTTTATAATTTTGCTATGCACGATGAACATTTCAAAATATTTAATCTAATTTATCAGCTATTTAAAAATGTTTTTAATTTTCTATTTTTTTAGGTTTTTTTTTTAAAATAATAGGTACAAAATAATTCTTGGTTAAAAAGTTGAAAAATGTAATACAAATTACAAGATGGTAGGTATAGAATAAGTTATTATTCAATTTAAAAACACTTAGGTCAGTAGGTGTTCAAAATACATTACCTACCTACTTAAGAAATATGCAAATTCATGAAGTTCTAATCCCTGACACATTGAGAATTTTAATATCATTTATTATGATGTAAGTAGGTACCTAACGTTGTACTAATCGTTGCTGAAAAGAAAAAAGTTCATACTATGATTTTCATAGGTAGTCCATTTACTAGTACTATAGTCCCAGTCGATTTTGACCCATACACAACTACAATTCAAGCAACAGCAAATTTGTGTTCATTAGTACCTACCTATTTTTTGTTGTTAGCTTTTTATTGATTTCTTCTTTCAACTTCTACAGTGAATAGTGATGGAAAATGGACATTAGGTAGTTTATATTTTTGATATTTCAATACAATTGTAATTGCAGAAAAATTAAATACTAATACTTATTAAAACATTTTCTTCATATTTTGATTTGAATGTTACATTTTAAAATTTTTATTTTAAATCATTTGATTTTAAAAATGTTAAATGTTAAATTATTTCAGTATTTATACAGTCCAAGGGATGAGTTGAGGTTGAGTCGCCCCCAAATCTCTTGATCGTTTAATTAGGAATTAGAATGTGTGTTAATTATTTATTATTAACTTGCTACAACAATACAGCAATACCACAGACTACATATGCTGGGTGCTGTACCTCCTATACCTGCTTAGTTTTGTTAACTTTAATGTTGCAGTGAAAATGAATTGCCCTATTATCTGAATATTATATATTAATTTTCTGTAATGTATAAGTATTTTTAAATTATAATATTTTATACTTTCATAATTTTCCTAAAATTTATAAATTATCACATCAATTTAAAAAAATTTAATGGATAAACACTGATAACATTTTTAACTTGAAGTACGATAGTTTTAATAGGTAAATTCATTATAATATTATAATTAGGGAGTAATTATACAAGATCAGTTCTGCTGAACAAATTTGCTATATTGTGCATGAGTTGGAGAGGAGACAAATATTCACTCAAATAGTGTAAGAACATCCTCTTAAAAATTACAATTATTCTGTGAAATTTGTTAAGATTCAGTCAAATTGAAAAATAAGCAAGCAATTATTATGTTAAAAATATGAATGCGCAATATTCAAATGGTATTTACATCTGAGTAATATTATAATAATCATAATAATTCTCTCAACATGGTTAATATTATTATTATCTGAATAAATGATAGTAATTTTTAAGACAGTTTCTCTCGATTGAATAAAGTAAAATAAAAGTTGTATTTCTATGAAATATAAGCTTTTTAAACTCCACAATTTATCATAGAATCAACATTTACATATTATAATGTATTATGTAAATGAGTGTAATTGTATTTTACCAACTATCTTTAATTTAACAATTTTCTTTACAGATTTTTCCAACAGCATTTAAGTTACAAGACTTATAAATACAGCAGGAAACTATATCAGAATAACATAGACAATAAATAAGTAATTTAAATATAACTTTATTGGATGTCAAGTTAAAGTCTTAATGAATAGTTTTTTTTTCTAGAAATAGTAGGTAGTTAATATTTTTTAAGTCATCACTATATTTTTATAACTAATTCTACATTGGACACATTTGAATTTACATAGTCCGATAACATACATAATTGCACCCAACCCATTTACAATTAAAATATTTTTTTTACAACTAGATGGAAAAATAAACAAATATTTTTATGATAGTCATTATTTTGATATTTTAACATATAAAAATTATGTTAAGATTAATGGAAATATAAATAAACACAACAAACACAATATTAGAAGAAAAACACATTAATATTCATTTAAAATTGAGTAAACAATTAAATAAATAATAATACTAATTATGACTAGTTTAAGGATAAAAAAATAAATACTTTTTAGGTATTTCGATTATGTAACGATCAATGACTATCGCAGTTTTGAAATGAAATATAATATGATTACCTATTATATTGCACAGCCAATAAGAACAAAATATGTCTATATTTTTATATAAAAAAAACTTAAATCATTAAAAAAAAAATTAGGTAAAATAAGAAACAATGAATTATATATATATATAAAAAAAACAATCAAGAATTATCAACATTTAAGTAGTGTAAATATACTTTTAAGCCATAACACAGTGAATGGAAATGTGTTAGTTTAAATTAAATAATAAATATAACTTGTCATTTTGCTACTTTAAAATTGTGCATGGAAGAGTATTATTAATAGTATTAACTCTAAGGCCTAAAAAGATGGTGTCTGATAGTCGCCCAGTTGAGTTATTTTACTTATACTGTCATATTCTGCACGTATTTTGGAATATACTTCATTACTGAAGTTAGGTATATCATTTGGCAATAAACCATCAGTTTCTATTATTGGCATCACAGATATTATTACACGACCTGAAATAATTAAAGATTACAACGAGATCTTAAAAACATTTTATATTATAGTAAACTTATACTGCTAAAACTTTATAAACACCTGGCTCAAACATATGTTTTTCTTTGTTTATGAAATAGTTGTTGGAAAATACAATCGGTTGAACTGGTAATTTTTTTTTAAAAGCCATTTTAATAGTTTCTTCAGTTGTCATTGTAGTAGATACCAATAGAATTGTAGGCTATAAACAGTGTTAGAATATAAAAAATATAATATATAGTATATACCTATGTAGGTTATAATACATTGCAATATTTACCTCTGAATCAATTAAAGCTGCAGAAAAATTCAACAACCTCAAATTGGTATAAAAAAATTGAATAGGAAACAGGGCCAATGAGATTAGCCATGGAAAAAATGAAAATGGCCATAAGGTGATGAAATTTGTCTCAGAAATTATTTTCAGTTCCATCTCTTGACAATACACTAAATGCAAGAGTCCTGTAAAAATGTACAAAAAAAAGTTACACTAGGCATAATAATATATAATTATACTTTAAATATAATTTATTAATTTTGCTTAAACAAAAAACAAAAAATGTTTTCTATTGTTGGACAAGACATGTGAGTATTTGTTATTCTAATTAGTATAGTCATTAGTATTCAGTCATGTTCAAAATGTTAAATAATAACCATTACCTAATGTATCAATGTCAGTTTGATAATTTATAATAGCCACTCTTGCACGTGTTGATGATAGATTTTGTTTTCCGTGTAGGCGCCATTCAATAGACAATAAATCTGAGATTTGTTGTCCAAAATATGCAATCAACCTGCAAAAATAAATTAAAACATTTAGTTGAAACTAATAGAACATTTTATATTTCATATAAAATAGGAAAATAATTTATAAAAATTGATAACAATAGAATATGGGATGTTTTTTGGATAGATTTTATATGCTGGAAATGTATTCAAAACTCCTGCACATCAATATTCAAACAGATATATATTATTTGCATATTTCAACACTTTTTGTATAGTACATAAGTACAATTCTAAAATATTACTTGTGTCAATCACTACCATATGTGTAAAATGTCCAACCATCTATGGAGGTGGTATATGAATCTTTAACTAACTTATGAAGTATTCATTCCATGTTAAAACAAAAAAAAAGGAAAATTGTAAAATTATTTTGTTATTTTAGAAAATATCCTGCTTTATTAATGTATTCATTTATTTAAAATAGATTTTATCATGATTCATGATTATACTAACAGATTATCTATTTATTTAAATTGTACATGATAGAATGTTCAAATGTTATATAGATACCTAAAATATGCTTGAATCATAATTAGGTACTAGGTTAAGATTTATCATGCATCAGCATATTTTTGGACTTTTTTTGGCCAGTAAGATAAAAATAGCGCATAGCTATTAATTTTATAATATAGGTACATACTAATAAAATAATGATATATAATAATATATTATAAAACCAAGGCCATAACTAGACATACAAATATGATTTATTTTGTTAAGGTACATGGTTTAACATCCAGTAGGTTATACAGGTTCAGAGCACTTATTCTCTTGATCCCAGCACAGTGTTAACCTTTTGTTTAATCATAAATTTGATCAGTTTAAAAAAAAAAATAGGTAGAGATAAAATATAGGTTTAATAACTAATAATAATACATTTAAATATTAATTATTTTTCAAAAATAGTTAATAAGTCTTTTATTTTAACAAAAACAAGGCTGGTAAATAAGAAAAAAAAAACCTAGCTCAAGCATTTAGAAGGTAGTAGGTAAGTAACTTAAAATTGAAATATACAAATGTAAGGTTAATTCTAAGTTTGAAGAAATAAGACATACAGTCCCCCGCGTACAATTTCGGGCCCATGTATTAAATGTTTTTGTACATCTTATACAAAACTTCCAATCAACCAAATTCAAAATATTACAAGCTAATCGAGTGTCCCTTGTATAATTTCTACTTAATATATTATATATACATTTATTTCATAAAATATTATTTAAAATAAAATAAGTATTTCTATGAAAATTGCAAAAATTACAAATTCATTTCAATGGGCACCTGTATTCTAGGTCCAACACCCCCACTCCTTTTTGGGACCCTGAAGACTAATAGCAAACAAATAATTACACAATACATAAAAATAGTTATTTAGACAAAATCTTAATTTATTTTCATTTTATAGAGTCAACATATTGTATACCATCATCCATCGGTATTCAATTTATTATTCCAAGCTTTTATAGAGCATGATATTTTAACTTCATAATATTAAAATAAAATAACTAAATTTGGCACAAGCCACTAACTTTTATAATGAGAGAAAACGCATTTTAGCAATAATTATCATAGACTATGTAGCCATGTAGATATAATAGCATTTATTATATATTTATATGTATTATATGTATAATACATGGTATTAAGTAGGTATATATTATAATATTTCATGCAAACAGTTGATAGCATAAAGAATAAATTATAAAGTTATAATAATGTATAACAAACAGTGAGACCGAGCTAATGATAAATGCCTACATTCCTAACGAACCGTTAGTAATGTAACTGATAAGAGTAATATTGTAAAAGTAGTCGGTGAAATATTTCATAAATTAAAATAGTATGATTAATGAACACCTATAATAATATTAATCAACACAATATGCCAGTAACGGAATCAAGTATCAACAGTAATCAAAGTAATTTTATTCAATAAAGCATATTATTAAGAGCGCTAAACTTACAAAAGATCAATTTTCAACACAAGTTTTAAGTGACAATAAAGGTGTACCCCAGCCGCAAACTATTTCTAACAGCTGTTGGAAACTGAATCTCACAAGTCTGTCGATTCACTCATAGGAAATTGTTTCAAGGCCACATTTCAAACAGAACCCAATTATTTAACTAGGTTGCGTCCAATATCAGACGACAGAAAAATAGGCAGGACATACTCTGAAACGTTTGAACCGAGAGTATGACCATCGGTTGTAATTATTAGTGTTTATAATTGATGGCATGACAGGCAACAGCCGTACAATTACCTGGACCGATGTTTGAACTGGAAGACGGCCAACAGGGACGTCAGGGAAGACAGCACAAAGAAGATGGCCAGACGGAAGTGGTAGCGGAACGTTCTTTGCGAGTCGTAGAGGAACGGCAAAGAGATGAAAAACGCCACGAATAGCACTTCCAGCCAGACGGCCATTGTTGGTCGCGACGCTGACGGCTGCAGGTCGATCCGGTCGCGGGCACAACTACATTTTCAGATGGAAACGACCGTGGGAGACCGTGGCCGGTCTCGTGTTTTACAATAGCATATTACTACTAAACACGGTACCTACCTATAATTGGTCGTCACAATGACTTGGGTCACGGCACACGGCGTCTAGTGCGAAACGACGGTGATAACAATAATAATAATAGTAATAATAAATATTATGATCTGTATTAAATTTTTTACGCCGAACACAGGCGTTGTATCAACCGGATTCGGAAAGGGTATCGATCGAGTCTTACGCCGCACCAGTTGACCAGTGGTCCACGGTCGGGAACGCGAACGGTAATGACGACTATAATATTCTTATGCAATACTAATCAAATACGGCGGCAGAAGTCGTATACAAATAATATTATTATTATTATTTATAAATAATAATGTAGTTCGTGCCTTATTATAGATTTTTATTTTTAAAAATGTTTTATTATTACTTTATCGTTACTGTCTACTTTCGTGTTATCACCCCCGCTCAGAACTGTTATCTGACGTTACGTTATCAGTCACTGACCTCACATCAGCTGGTGGTGTTCTGCGAAAGATAAGGAGCCATTGTTTGAAGTACACATAATAATCAAACAATATAATATATGACAAAGGGACCTATTAATCTACCAATAATAATATTATATTTTACCTTGAGGACTTGGTGGCCAATATTATTGGTCGCGCACTCTTGCGGAACGAACACAATATTTAGTTTTGGTGATATTATTTCAATATTATATTACTATCACAGGATCAATGATTGTGTTGTCGAAGCAACCCTATCTCGACGAAGGCCGACGAATAGCCGTCGCGCACTATCAAGCACTCGAGGAAGTTTGGACTTTTCGGCGTTGGTAAGCACAGAGCACAGATAGCGCCGTATATTTAGTCGCGAATCATCGTTGATCGGCTGACCAGGAATTGTCACTTATGATTTATCATATTTTCCAGGGCGATTACCACGCGTAAACTGTGGTTTTTAATTTCAAAAAAACAACATTTTTAGGAAAGGTTAAAAGATGAACCGATTTTTTGGTTATACCTGCATACCGGGTGATCTATTTAATATGTTAAGACACTCATTGTTGCGAAAACTATTAACGTTCTTGAAATATTTTTTACATAATTTTATGTTATTTATAACAATTTTCTAAAAAATATATTCTTACTATTTTTTCGAAATACTCCAAATAATATTCTGATATAAAAATTATAAGTAGTCATTCAAATGAGTAAAAAACATGAAAAAAATTAAAATATTAAAAATATAAAAAACATAATTATTTGCCAAAAATGTCGTTTTGTAACATAAAGCCAAGAGAAATATTTTTAAAAACATTAATTTCTTCTGAAATAATAAATGTCTTACGTTAAAGTTAAATGAATATTACCCTGCAGGTATATTAGATATTTATTAGGTACATAATCTTTAAGATTATAGTTACACTTAAATAGTAAGTTAAATAACTGTTATTCGACAAGTGCTGAAGTAGGTAGTTAATTATACTTTATAAAAATGTTGCTTTAAATTTCCCAAAGTATGAAGTACGTGTAGTAAATTCAACGACATACCTACGTACTTTATCAATACATTTCAACCGTGATATTACAACTAAAGTCATAGATGGGTTTCTAAACATAACACAATCGTGGGAATACCTAAATTGTTTTTTGGACTTTTTTTTATTTAGCTTTTATTCAGAAACTGTGGCAGTTCGACAATTATTCAATTACACGATTCTACGATTTTCCTACAGTTACTATTATTTTGGTGACTTATAATTCATTATAATTTATAATAGTTATAAACTTATAAAGAATAAATCATATTAATATAGGTAATGATGACCAGATGACTGATGAGTGATGAGATACATAATTTTGTACTGTTGATAGGTAGTCTAAAAACATCTTCAATTACATAATTTATAACATGAGAAGACTTGAACCACGACAGCTTGCAACAATGGTTATGGACGTTCAAGAAGCAAAAAAAAAATTAAATATTAATCTAATATAGCAGTATTATTGTACATGCACATTGAACGCGTGTTGGTAATTGAATGATGTTATTGTATATTTCAGATACCTAACCTTAAAACGCAAACAAATAAATCATTTGAAAATTTATGTCTGCTTTTTACACATCATTAGTCAATAGACATTAATATTTAGTAGGTATTATAACTATTATTAAACCTTTCATTTTTGTAAACAAATGTTAAGTAAAAACAACTGATTATATTGTATTTAATTTATATTCTTTGAAAGAGTCGTGCTCGACCATTTTCTGCTGTTGTCGATGGGAGTAGAATTCAGATACATTTAATTAACTAAGAGGCACGTTAAGAATAAACAATTATGCATATTAAAATGGTCACAAACTCACAAGAAATGGGCTAAACAACAAAATATTAAAATATTCTCGGAGTGTTTATGACACAAAGAACTCAGAATTATAATCACCAATAACACATTTTCAAACAAAAAAGTTGGAAAGTAGGTAACCACTATGTGGCTCTGCTGTAGGTACAGAAGTCAAGTGTACCTTGTCATTAAGTCACTAATGGCTGAGTTAAATTTAAATTCAATAATTTATGCATGCGAAAAAGCTTTAATAAAGGTTTGCTATTATACTCAAGCTTAAAAAAGACTAAACATTTAAAATTATCTATAAAACCCCTCCGCTGAGTATCTAAAATATTTAGAATAATAAATTACGATTCATTAGTCGATATAAAAATCAAAATATCACGAACGGTTAAAGTGTAATTTCAGTTTAAACTCATGGTTGTATTATTATTTTATTAATTATTGTTATTTTAAATTTGGATGTAATTAGGCTAAATACACACATAATTTTTTTCATACAAGAATATGACACCACATTGTGTAGGTACTCTTATATTTTATGTTGGGGTGATATACCTATAGGCTATATTTAGGTAATTAGGTGTCCTCCATACCTATGCAAAAACATACATATGATACATTTTTTAAGTAGTGTTAAAGAGGCTTGCTAAAATACAATATTGATGTCCTTACAATATTATGAGATACATTATTGATATAAATTAATTGATATGAATTAAAAATAAAAATCATAATTATATCACTCATACTATAACATTTTTTCTGTAATGATTCACACATTTATTCATACTACATAATATTATCACATGAAATCACATATTATTAACATTAATTTGTTTAAAGTGTATATAGTATACCAATAAAGACATTTGAGTCATATTTGCCATTTAGTATAGGACATGGGTACTAAAATATACATTTAATAACTTACCCCTAAATAGGTATAGGTACTAAATTATTTATTATTATTAAAACGTTGATAAAAATTGTAGTAAATTGAATGAAATTAATTTTATTTAAAATTAAAATGATCTATTGAACATTTTGACTCGTAGCTATGGTATTATTAATGTAAAATTGCATATTGTGAACATTGAACTAAATACTTAAAGCTTATAAAATAGTAATTTTATGTAATTTTGTTTCCATGTATAGTTAATAGAGAATAATCTATTTGTCCATGTTTATTAGGTGTAATCTGTATAATAATATAATTATGACTAAATAGTCTAAAGTAAAAAAAAATTTAAAAATCATTTATTACCATTTATTTTATCTACCGATTTGGTAGGTACCTATGTTTTAATTTTTAAGTACCTGCAGGAATATTAAAACTATTAAATACTAATAATGAATAACTGATATTGCTTTTGTTTGGCTTCAATCACTAACGTTCTGAAGTCAGCAATAACCGGTGTCACAAGTTCCCTGGTGGGTGACCAACCACCTGGGTTTTTTATGACATAACCTCGCTACATATATAAGTGTTCTACCTTCCCTCGCAGTAATAAAACTAAATTATAATCCAGGTGAATCAACCTCAGATGTTGAAGCCCTAACTCAAAGAAAAAATTAAATTAAATTAAAATATATTGATATATATATACAGAAATGATTTTGAAATTACAAATAGGTGCAGTATAAATGTATACATGACTTTGAACAGTAACGTATTATACATTGTAATAGACATAGTAACTACTAAATAGTAATTATATACCATATCAAACTATAATAAGACGGATAGCGAAAATGTTAGTTTTAGAAATTGTGTCACAAGAAACCAGTAAAAAGTAATAGTATTATATTTATATATTTATATTACATAATATAAGTTCATTATTTAGAAGTTACCTAACTTTATATTAATGAATGAACTTTTATTATGTTTTCATAGTTTAGAAATTAAAATATCAAATTAAAACGTATAACTGTTCTTCAAATTTTTCATTGAATCCTAAAAGTGACTATAAATGTTGAAAAATTAAACTACATATTTAATGGTAACATTGGTAAACAATGATCATCTTAAACTCGTCTAAATATTATACTTTGTTTTAATCAAGTGTAACAAAGTAACCACTATTGATTTTATAGAAAATAAAAAACAGACCGTTTTACCCGGGTCTGTCGTAATATATTGTTCAGGTTTTTTTTTAGTGCAATTTGCATTTTTTTTTGAAAAGGACCTCTAAAATTCCCTACCATCTGTGCACAGTTTTCAATTGATTGATAGGGCTACACACAACTTTGGGAGTGCTCTTCTACCAAAAAAGTGGTCACATATGTAAGTGAAACCACGAAGAAAAACAAGCGTAAAATTATAGGTATACAAACAATATTCATTTCTCGTCATAACATGACTTAGACCCCTAAATAATTGTGTTAATATGTAATGTATTTTCATGTTCTCAAAGTTATTATTATATTTTAAAAGTTTTGAGTTGTTTGATTTTCTGGAAACAATATTGTTTCAAACACTAAAACAGTGTTTTTTTCTCAATATCAGAGCAGCTGTGATATCTATTATACCGACGTTGTTGTGGGTGTGTGTGTATATTGTTTATATATATAAATATATATTCACCACGACATTTTTAAGGTAATTGGTTTTGTGCTTAAAAAAAACGTACAAAGAGATTATTTGCATTTAAATAATTCACACACTTTTATCGACTGTTTCTCAGTATTTATTTTCACTATAAGTTCTTTGAAACAGTTCATTTTACTTGAGTCTTAAGCACCATCAAGTGAAAAAAACTTTATTGCACTTTGTTTTATTGCTCAGTTTAGCATTTCAAAGAATCAAGGTGTACATTACAGTAGATAACTTTTATATTTTATAATTAAAAAGTATTATGCACATTTTTGTAGAATAAGAACGAGTCTTATACTCTTATTCTTATTTCTTCAACTTCGCAGTCAATTTTGTTCTGAGCTATTAGTATTCGATCTTATTTTACAATGTATTATAAATTAAAATAAATAAATGACTTATTTTAGCTTCTTGGTTAAAATTAGTTTTAATGTACACTACCTATTTTATTAATTTCTGATTTTATTTTTACTTTCA